CAAGTCTCATATATATATATATATTTTAAATCATCCGCCATTTGCCAGCCTGCTGGGATTTAAAAAAAACACGTGTTTTTTTAATCGTAGAGCCAGATTAAAATTCAGGAAGCCGATTTCCGTCCACATCCCTAAATATGGTGATCAACCTCTGCCTTCCACAGTTCAAGCCAAGAATTCACTGCAACAAGGTATTTGAATGATGATGATGATGATGATGATGATAATGATAATGATAATGATAATAATAATAATAATAATAATAATAATAATAATAATAATAATAAATAATATGTCCTCCGACGCTACCTGAACAGTTCCTAGGTCCTTGGTTAGGACTTGAGCTTTTGAGCTACCAACCAGCCCCAAAGGCTATGAATCTCATTAATGTTGTTGTTGTTGTTGTTGTTGTTGTTGTTGTTGTTGTTGTTGTTGTTGTTGTTGTTGTTGTTGTTGTTGTTGTTATTATTGTTGTTGTTGTTATTATTGTTATTATTGTTATTATTGTTATTATTGTTATTATAATTATTTATTATTATAATTATTTATTATTGTTATTATTATTATTATTATTATTATTATTATTATTATTATTATTATTATTATTATTATTATTATTATTATTTATTCGTTTGTGAAATCTCGAAGCACCAGGAAAGGGACACAAGCGAACCTCATGAACAAAATTTGATCAAAACCTATATTATTATTATTATTATTATTATTATTATTATTATTATTATTATTATTATTATTATTATTATTATTATTTCTACATCCTTTTTGGGTAGCCTCATTTTTCTGGTTCCGCTTTGTGGTAGCATTTCATTACAGTGCGGTTCCCTGACACTGTGTATTTCTGCCGCTTCTGAGGTGGTTCAGCTTCCAGTAGCCCTGCAGGCCTATGTCCCAGTTGCTCAGCTATGGGACCCGTGGCCCGTAGCCCACTTGTCGACGGATGCCCAGGTTCCCTAACACCCGATGTGACCCTTGTTAACCCCGGGCGACAACCGAGCTGGTGTAGGCTTCGTTCGGTTGTGTTTCACCAAGATTCATTGCTCCTCAGCTGAGACCTTTCTGGCATGGTTGGACTTGCTGGTAGTTTGCACTACCGCCAGCACAGCTCTCAGCTTCATTGGAGCAGTGAAGCCCCCCTGCCACGTCAAGGTGGCACCTCATGGGTGGGTGGGTGGGAAACATCTCAAACGTAAAGACAAATAACATGTCCTTTGTAGGTTTTATGGTTCTGGAGATTTTGTGATGATGCGTGAGGGCTATTTTGCTTTTATAGAGAGAGATTCATATCAGTACACGAACAGCGTGGCCTCTGGGTATAATTCATTTTGATGCAAACATCAATAACGATAATCATAATAGTTCTATTAATTAATCAAACTTATATAATCCTAATATGAATCAACGTGCTTTTTTTAAGAGTAGTTATTGGATATTTCAAATGTTCCATTTTAATGCCAATGATATTATAAGCCAGTGATGAGAAACCTGTTTGTTGTGGTGGTGCGAAAGCACGCGCTTTGCGCCCCGCTCCCCTGTGTATGCGTGTGCAACACCCCCGCCCCGCCGGCTTACCTGCACTGGGCATGCGTGCACCTCCCAGCTGATTTTTGGCCCGCATGAGACCATTTTCGCCCTCCCGGAGTCTCAAGGGAAGCCTCTGGAGCGACTGGAGGCTGAAAACGGGCCTGTTTCGGCACTTCCGGTACTTCCGGAAGGCCCAATTTTCAGCCTCCAGAGGCTTCCCTCGAGCCTCCGGGAGGACAAAACGCCTCAAACGGGCCGAAAATCAGCTGGGAGGCGCACGCATGCGCGGTGCAGGTAACTTTGGCTGTAGCTCGTGTGCCCCTACAAATGGTTCTGCATGTCACCTATGACAAGTGTGCCACAGGTTCGCCATCACGGTTATAAACATACCTGGCAATGCCCTCTTCCACTTTCAGCTGTAATTCAAGGACCGCCTGGGTTCCCCCGTCCCTGACTTTTATCCCGCATTGTAGATTTCCGCCGACGGCTATGAAGTAGAAAACCTCATCTCCGAAGACCCCGTCAAGCGACACCGTGGCTTCCGCTGCGAATACTTCATCAAGCCGCCGGTGCAGGTGACGATTTCTTTCCCCTTCAATGTGGAAATCTGCCGGATTAACATCGATACTTCGTCCGGCTCGTGCCACAACATCACCGGCTTGGATATTTATACTGCTACCTCCTCCAACAAGGCCTGTTGGAATAGCCCGGAGCCCCTTTTCTCTGCTCCGTCCGGCCAGCCTCCGGCGTCGGACAAGGAGACCTTCACCCTGGTGGGCAAAGCCGTCTTAAAGAATCAAAGCAAAGTGACCTTCGGCCATCGTGGCTTCCGGCCCAGGCCTCCCTTCCATCACCAAGCCGACCCTCTCCTCTCCTTTCCCGGCTCCGCCTCTTTGGACTTATGGAATAAAGGCCCGGCTTCCTTAAGCAGTGTCACCTGGCTGAAAATCTGCATTGCTTACGTGGCGGGTAGCGGGCTGCCTTCCATCAAGAGAGTTGAGGTCTGGGGCCAACCGTCCAAGTCGTGCTCTCACGACGTGGTGGACGATGTCCTCCGGGTCGCCACCAAGTCCTCGTTGGATGCCTCGGACAGTCAACTCCCCGCCCTTCCTCTGCCAATGGAGAGTGACACGGGGCCCGACTCCCGGGAACAGAAGCTGGTGGAGGTTCTCCAGGACATCCCGGAAGAGTTCCTGGACCCCATCACGCTGGAGATCATGACCCTGCCCATGCTGCTGCCCTCCGGGAAAGTGATCGACCGAGGAACCCTGGAGAAGTGCAACCGGAGCGAGGCGACTTGGGGGCGTGTGCCCAGCGATCCTTTCACAGGGGTGGCGTTCGGCCCGCACACGCAGCCCCTTCCCCACCCGTCGCTCAAGGCGAGGATCGACCACTTCCTCCTCCAGCATGACATCCCCGGCGTCAACCTGCTGGGCCGGAGCCGGGCCTCGGGGACGGTGGTGGCGTCGTCCCTCGCCATGTCATCGCTCAAACGGAAAATCGATCTGGTGGACCAGAACCAGGAGGGAGTCCCGGAGGGCAGCCACTGTGCGGCGGTGGACTTCGCCGTGGCGTCCAGTTTGGGGTTCCACGCCAAGAGGGTGAAAATGGAATGGGATTTGAACTCGTCCCAGATGGATTGCTCCACAGGTATCCTGAGCCTTCCGGTTTGTAAACTTGCAGGGGGTGGTGCTGGTGGAAACCATCCTGTGGGGGAGAAATGTTTATCTGAGTATTGGTTTAATATTCTGAAATCGCTTCAGCTGTTGGTTTCAGAAGCTTGTGAGTCTTTTGTAAGTCTAGTCCCTAAGGTGGGACTAGAACTCACCGTCTCCTGGTGATTGGCCCAAAGT